AACTGCGTTTTGTGTCCGTCTATTTTTATGGAGCATTTCTGACAGCTCTTTGACTCAAGCCAATCGATTAGCAATCATTGACGCTGTGACCACATTCTTTTGTCAATTCATTCCTCCATTTTGTGTTAGTCTATGGCCGGATTTTGAACTTTTCCAGTTTTCGTACGCTGGACCATTCAATCTAGTTGGAAAACTTGTGGGGAACTCTATAGAATCTGCACTGATGTTCAGAATTATGAGAAAAAAGTACGTGGAACAGAAGGCAGCAACAACATTTGTAATTAGAGGATTCAGTCATGGCACACACTCATCGGACCATCATAGATTCTGAATAATTGTTTTTTGGAATACATCGTTTTTTAGAGCACAAACGAATTCATTTGTTCTTATAAGTTATACTTAATAATTTTTTGTATGGAAGTTCTGATAAAAATGATTGAAATTGAAACCCCAGACGCCCATCTTAAAAAAGAAAAATAAAAGAATAGGATAGTGACTGCTGTTCCAAGAATGTAGATGAATGTGTTTTTTTCTGAAAAGAATAGTCTGCAACAACTTTAATTAAATTTCGACGAGAATTCTGGGGAAGAGAAAGAGCCCTATCTTCTCGTTCAATTCCAACGAACGTTTTGTTGTCCGAAAACGCTATTTAATGCATTTTACATGAATGAGAGTAAGAAATTAGTAAACTTCAATTTTCTTATAAATCTGTTCGTCTGAAAACAGAGCATCAAAAACTAATTGTTCTGAGAAGTCAACTGGGATTTTTCTGTAGTTTACTCATCAAATACATCAAAATGTGTACTCATCAAATTTTTGGTATAATTGTTTTTCAAATGCTCTTTATTCAATTATAATATCAAGAAAAAATCACAATCCATACTTTCTCGGATCGAATTTCAAATCAAAGTTTTTTGCATAATTTTCATCCCCAAAGACCATATCTGACTGATCGTACAAATCGGCCACTGCACGACCTCCTCTCTCCAGTCCCACTTTCTGTTCTGTACTGCAGTCAGTACTATCGAGAACCTTTTTGACACATAGGACGACAGTGGAAGAGAATCCTTTCGGCAACGGGAACTTTTTATGAGAGACAAAGCAATTTCCAAGTGATTGAGATATGTCTTTCTGTAACGGGATATATTATGGAGGCTTTTAAAAATTATGGATATTCTTACATCTTCCATGCACTCTTGGGCTTCTATCTTTCGGTCCGTATAAAAATCCAATGTGTCTAATAGAAACTTGACCAGCTTCCGTTCTCCTTTACATTCCAAATCACCAATACATTTCAACGACTTTTTAAATTCCCCTCCCAATTGTGACTCTAATGGAGAAACAGTGGAGCTGAACTTGATTAGTTCCTTACGGGTTTCAACCAAGTCTCTGGTGAACTGAAATGGTGGAAAATTGAAAACTGTTTTTTTTTTCAAAAAGCAACTCACATTGGCATAAGTTTCAGTACAGAATTTGAATCTCTCCGTCTCAGCTTCACAAAATTTACCGTCGTTTTCATCCACAAAACGACAAGCAGCAAAGTTCAAAAGAACAGCAAAGGGAATGAGAAATTTCAACATTTTGAAACTATACTTTGTCCCAAAATTCAGACGTATTTTATACCAAAAGTACACAAAACAAAGCACATCATTTTTGAAAACATCTAAAGAAATATAGGAATCAGAAAATCAACATCCATACTGTTTTTGTGATATCATTTTTTTCAAAATAGAAGACAAATTTCTCCAAGTGGACGGTATAGGGAGGGGGCATTCTGTGCATAAGAGTGATTACGGTAATATCTATATGGGAAGTTCAGATGATGTGTTGAACAAAATTGGGCCGAGCTTATGTATAAGTTATTTAAAGTAAAAAAGTTAATACGAAGAATTCCGAGAAAATGGTTATTTTTTCTAGAAATATAATTATTGTGCTTTTTTACCATTCTGATTGAATTTTCGGCAGAATTTACCATTCTGATTGAATTTTCGGCAGAATAAAAATCCAGAAAAACAGAGTCAATGAGGTTTTTCCATTAATTTTTTTTCGGAGAACAGCAAACATGTTTTTTGAAATTTTTGTTTTTTTTGGGTTTCTGTTTTTTTCTGATCTGACTAGTTTTGAACTCAATCTATATGTCTGTGATTTTCAAAGAATATTTCATCAAATTCATTCTATGTTTTCTCTCACACTATCAAGATGACTAACCATACTCCCATGAATTTCTAGACAGAATTAGTTTTGAACTGAACTAGTTTTTTAGCTTGTCTTTTTGTTATTCAAAGACAAATATTTTTTGTACATCATTCAGAACGAAGGCCCTTCTTAGGATTAATATCCTTCTTTCCTTCGTTTTGTTAATCAGCCGACTCGTTTTTCTGGTTCTGAAAATAGTTAATGTTCCTATTCTTGAAAAAAATTAATATTCCTATTCTTGAAAAAATGTAATGTTCCTATTCTTGAAAAAATCTATTCCTAAAAACAGAAGCTTGCCTAAACCTCTCTACGAAATATTTTACTTCATTTCACAATCAGCTTTCATCTCTTCCTGAAAGCGAATTAACCCATTTGCACGTATACTGAATCTTTCATAACAAATGGACAATCTCATAACCATTGTATGCTTGTTAGGAATTATTTGCGCACTGGTCACGATATTGCTCAATATCAATTTAGTCATAAAGGTTGTGATGTCAGTAGAAAACAAAAAAAAACACTACAAAAAGCAGTTATATATTTTCAGGAACAAATCAAGGCGAAAAGCAGATATGCATTTGTTTTACTATCGGTTCACACTGGACATATTTTTTGGAGCATCTCGTAAGTTCTATAAAATGTTTCAATTGATATGTATAGTCAGATTCAGTACTCTCCTACATTATCTTCATCCTGCTCTCCATTGAAGCCCAAAAATTTATTGCCCAGTCCCGTCCGTTGATAGTTTACCTTGCCCTTCCTTGGTCAAATTTTGCCGCTTGCCGGTCTATTATCGCCCTTTCCATATCTGCCGAAAGAGTCATAGCTGCATATTTTCCCATTACATATCGCTCCTATAGAAACCTGGTCCCTAATTGGACTGTTTTAGCAGTAGGTATCGCATTTGGAGTCTCGGAAGAATTCGTTCTCTTCAATTTATGCTCTTATGACATGATCATCCCTCCAAGTTGTCGAGTTTTTGGCTGTGCGGTTAATAAGTGCTTTTATTATTTCTGGACCATTCATAAAGCGGTATTTCTGAGCTTCCTTGGTTAATTAATTTATAAAACTTTCTTTCAGTCGATATTCTCAACAATAGTAATTTTATCAATAATGCTATCAATGAAGTTATTCATTTGGAACAATTTGAAGCATAAAGGCAAAAATAATAGAATATCGAAGGTACGATTTGAAAAAGGAAAATTATTTTTAATAGTTTTTCAGGCAAATCGTCTTGCACTACTGGATACTGTAACTGTGCTAGTGTTTGATTTCCTTCCTTCATTTTGTGGTTCAATGTGGCCTACTGCCGAAATCTTCTCTTTCGATGTAAGATATCTACATTTCAACGGTAGCAAACCTTGATTTTTCAGTTTGTTGGTCCTTATAATGCTGTTGGGAAAGTCACTGGATGTGCTATCGAAGCGATAGCAGTTTCAACTCTTCTAATGTTCAGAAAAGGGAAGAACTCGGAACCTAAATCCTCTAGTAATCGACGTGTGGCAAAAAACACAAAGTCCAGTGGTCAAGTCTTAACTTTCCAAACTGTCAAATAAAAACTTAAAGTTTGATGTTACATCTTTCTGTTTTCACTGCTTATCACCAGTCTGTCAACAAGGCCTCGAATGTAGTAAATCTTCTTTTTCTCGAAATACAAGCAACTCGAAATACAAACAGAAAATATTTTCCAGACAATTTATTTCTCGAATTCAGATTTTTTTCCGCAAATCGAAAAAAATCGAAAAATTTCCTTCCTCACACAATGTGCTTTAGCCGCAAAGAAAATCTCGAAAAAAAAGACAAAATTTTTTTTTATAAGCATTCCTTTTTTATTTTTTTTACTCATTCTTTTTCTGGGATTTTTCCTGTTAAAAATTAAAATATTAGCTTTGATACAAACACTTTCTGATCTGATTAGTTTGGGGCTGGATCTATATTTCTGTGATTTATTTTTGATTTGAAAAACTTATTTCATTTTTCATGGGTTAGTCTAACTAACAAAGGCGAGATTTTTTTGTTACTTTTTTTTGCTTTTCCGATCCGATTGTGAAGAGAATGAAGAAGAGTACTGAGATATACTGTATAGGAAAACTGAACATTTTACAAAACTTACGAGTTGCTCAAAAAATATGTCCAATGCAAACCGGTAGTAGAACAAATGCATGTCTGCGTTTCGCTTTGATTTGTTCCTGAAAATATAT